CACCCTGTATATGTATATAAAGAGAAAACTATTTTATGCTTACGATCTACATATACATTTTATATGTATATGTATAAAAAGAAAACTATTTTATGCTTACGGTCTAGACATTTTATATGTATATATATATATATAAAGAGAGAAAAAAAAGAAAACTATTTTAGGCTTACGGTCTAGACAGGATTTCTCGCTTCCGCGTCCCGTAATTTTTGGAACAAGGCTGTGTACTCGTGACGCGGCCTGTTACACGGAAAATAAAATTTTCGCTGCCGTAGCTAATCATGGTTTGCTAAAATCATATTTGCTACCGCAACTATACATTTTTAAACCACAGCAAAACGGTTTGCTGTCGTACCTAATGCATAAGTAAACCAGCAAAATATGCATGTCTATAAGAATCACATCATGTAGCAATATAAAAATAGCTATCGTAACTAATCGATGTGCTACCAGCTACACAAACATTTTGCTAAGCGACGTACTTTATTAAGATGGCTCCTGTTCTCAAGTGGACAGTAATACGGCCGGAATCTATCGCGGGGACGCAGCCACGTACGATTGGCGCGAACAGCAGTGAGTGAAAATAGTGAAATAATAAGACTGCGTTCGGTTTGGGCGCTCGCACGCTGTAAGCATTATTCTATCTTCGTTGCACATCGAATATCAAACGAAGAGAGAGAGAGAGAGAGAGAGAGAGAGAGAGAGAGAGAGCGATGCTTCCAGCGCGTGAGCGCCCAAACCGAACGCAGCCTGAGTGAGTGAGTGAGACAGACATAAAACAAAAGGTGATCTCTACGACATCTACTGTTTTCAACGGGCACGCGTCGTCCGCATGTATTCTCGTCTACTGTTTGCAACGGGCACACGTCGTCCGCATTTCGTGTGCCGGGTGCCGGGTGCCGGGTGCCGGTATCGCCATTCTTGCTCGTGTCTAATCTTGCTCGTGTGTAATCTCGCTCGTGTTGTAATCTCGCTCGTGTTGTGATCTTGCTCATCTCCTATAAGTTTGACTTGTTCAAGAATTGAGAAATGGCTACAAGTAGTGCAATACATCTCCTGACTGCTTGGGGACTTAACCAAGAAGTAATACGCAATTTCTTAGGTATGTATAATAATCTATATATATATATCTCTCTCTCTCTCTTTCTCTCTACACACACACACACACACACACGCGCGCGCGCGCGCGTAGGTACAGCATTCATGTCGGTGCGTGTGCATACGTGTGTATATGTGTACACGAACGATATCTATGCCGGTTCGTATGTACATGTGTGCACTTCCCAGCGAGAAATGATTCGTCGATCGACGTCGAAATGATGTCGATCGACGTCAATTCGACGGTGTCGATGTCGATTCGATGTCGTTTCGACGTCGATTGACGAATCATTTCTCACTATTGTCCGTGTGCATGCGTGTGCGTGTGAATACGTATGGTGTGTTCGCATGTGTATGCGTGTGCGTGTGAATATGTTGGTACGTCCGCGTGTGCATGCATGTGCGTGTGAATACGTACGTGTGCGTGTGTATGTGTGTTCATACGTGCGTGTGCGTGTGAATATGTATGGTACGTTCGTGTGTGCATGCATGTGCATGTGAATACGTACGTGTGCGTGTGTATGTGTGTTCATACGTGCGTGTGCGTGTGAATACGTATGGTACGTTCGCGTGTGCATGCATGTGCGTGTGAATACGTACGTGTGCGTGTGTATGTGTGTTCATACGTGTGTGTACGTGTGTGTACGTGCATGGTACGTGCGTGCGTGCGTGCGTGTGTGTGTGTGTGCGCGCGCGCTTACTGCTTTTCTTTTCTTTCGCAGTATTACATAAAATTTCAGAAAAAAAATTACGATTTATTTTGAGATATATTCAGTAATATTTCACTAGCTTTTATTTTATTTTTCATTAATTTTATGATGCTTTCGGCATAATATTTCCATCAAGGTTTGTTTTGTTATTAACAGATCAAGAAATAGAAGTCGATCAATTAAATGATTTGACAGAAGAAGATCTTAAGATTTTGATACCTAACATTGGACCTCGACGAAAATTCCAAAACAACTTAAGAAAGTATTTAGATAAGGTATTCGTTGTATATTATTTTTTTAAATTATGTTATGTTGTTCTGTCATCTTTTCCTTAGGATTGCAACTGATCTGTCTATTAATATTTCAGATTACACCAAAATCCGTTGAAAATATTGATTCAAATAATCAACTGCTACAAACCATACAGCAAGAAGATTTAAGTATTACAAACTCATCGATAAAAAGACGAAGAACTGATATTGAGGCACAATCTTCATCACCAAAGCAATATTACGATGTAGACAATAATGTTACGAATATTTTAGAAGATTTCATTCCAACTTCTCCATCTGAATCTCTATCTACATCTGCAGCGAGTACAGAATTTAATGGTAAGAATTTACAGAATTCCAGCAAACACAGGACATTGAAACAACGTTGCGGCAATGTTATAACGTTACTGTAACGTTGCTACAATATTGCGCAATGTTCTATGTTTGCTGGGACATTATTAATCTTTGTTTAATTATAATAATTTATACAAATTTAATAAATATAATAAAATTAATATAATTTATACTTGTTCATATAAAAACTTAAAATATACTGTGTTTTTATTGTCATAAGTGTCTTTATTTTGCTGCTAATGCATTCTCTTTTCAGTTACAGTGTTACCAAATAAGTGCAATGTTACTATATCTGCAGAAACAGAGCAACATGCAACAACTGATAATGAATATGTAAGATATAATTCGCTTTTAAAATATTCTTGAAATAATACGTATATATATTATAGTAAATATGTTTTATATTTCATATTACATTTAGTCTGTTTATGATTGCAGAATCTGGAATCTATATTGAATAAATCTGAGGACGGACAGCTTGTGCTTAGCGTATATAAAAGTCAAGGAAAATTAAATAACGACTTACGCAATAAA